AGTATTTACCGGGTGACCGGACAGAAGTGTGCAGCCCCTGCCCTAGACCCTGGCCGCATGGCCTCCCCAGCCCGGGGATCCCGCCCCCTGGGAGCCCTCAGCCCGGCCGTGGCTCCTGCGTGTTGTTCATGACTGGAGCACGGCCGTGTCGAGCGGTCAGAGCGCTCCCTTCTTCGCGGCTGCGGTTTTCTTTCTGCCGCGAGAGCTTCTTCTCTCGGGCGCGTTGTCCCTGGCGGAGAAAGCCCCTTTCTCTGAACTTGAGTCGACGGGCAGTCAGCATCTGTGCTCGCGGGGGGCCTGCTTCATGGCCAAAGGCCTTTTTATTTTTATGGGAAGGATGTTTCGTAAGTGCTCTTGCAACGGCTCTCTGGCAGACGGAACGCGGCCTTCTTGTGAAATGTGTGGTTTGTCTTTCAAGGGGGAAGAGCCACAGGGGGACAGCGTGATCTTGACGTCAGGTCAGTGGCCTGTCTTGAGCACGACTTGCCCTCGGCCAATGTTCCCACAGAGGCCCTGGGATACTGGGAAGAAACGGCCCTCCATCCGTGCCACCCACCAGGACGCTGCGATTGTTACTGTGTCATGAAATATTCACACGCACACACGCACGCGCACTGCATGCGTTTCGTCAACGAGGTGGCCCTCGGGCCCGCAGGCAGCCCAGGGAAGGAGCGCTGGCCGGGGTTCTGGCCGGAGCTGCAGGCTCTGGTGGGTTTCTCTTTCCTGCACCAGCTTCCTGGGGCCTCGGCCCCCCTCCAGGGCAGCAACAGAGGCCGCGAGCTTACCCCTGCAGCGGGCGCCTGTCACATGCCTGACTGGCGGACTCGGAACGTGGCAGTGACAGGTGGGCTGGCCTCCGGCAGGTGGGAATCTTGTGTCTGCGGCGGCCACGCTCCCTGCCACCCACTCTCTCCGTGGTGCCAGCTGCTTCGGAGGAGGGCTCCAACCGCCTCTGGCCCGTCAGAGTGTCTTGGGAAATCCATCAAGGACTTCCCTATACAAGGGGCTCTGATGGGTTCTGACACCTTTCCTGGGCCGCGCAGAGATCTCCAGAGCATGGGACCGTGAGACGGGGGTCCTGTGGGCCCATGGCACCGTGGCTGGTTCTTTTGTGGTGAGGTAGGGACAGATAAAGTCCGGGGGCCTTCCCGTGGAGGATGCTGTGGGCAGGAATCTGGATGCTAGGTCAGCACAGCCAGGGAAGGAAGTGAGGGGGGTGGCCAGTCAGCCAGGGGTCAGCTGGGAGTCCCCCGCCCCCTGGTTAGAGAGGCCCAGGGCCCAGGAACGGCCACGGGACACTGTGGGCTGGTGGCTGGGAAGGAGAAGGCAGTGGTCTTTGTGAGGTGAGAGCCTGTGGGAGTGGTTTGGCCCTTTAGGAAAGCTGTGGTCAGCTTTTTGGGGGGGGGTGTCAGAATTCCTCGTTGTTCTTCCAGTCAGGAGGACTGAGAAGGGCCAGGGCCACCAGGGTGGAGTTTAGACATCTGTGGGGCCCCGTGGCCAGCGCCTGCCACATGGCTGCTCTGTGGTTAGAGCCTTGGAGCCCCTCCTGACCCCTCCGATCCTGCCTTCCTGGGGATGGTCTCCTGGCGTTGGCCCTGCCTGGAAGACAGGGGTGGGGGTCGCTGCGGGTTTCCTGGGGGATGAGGTTCTGAGGCCTGGAGGGGAGGTGGCTCACCATGGCTCCAGGCCTCCTTGGGTCTCCTGCCCTGCCTATCCCTGGAGCCCCCCACCCCCACCCTGCTCACAGCATAGCGTGGTTCAGGGCTTGGGGAGAACCGCTGCAGCTCAGCCTTTCAAAGAGAAGCTGGCCGCTAGCCGTTCGGGAGGCAAGAAGCTGCGGAGAGCCGGGCCTTGGGGTCCCTGGGAAGGCGGGTTCCCGCAGACAGGGCGTCTCCGAGCCCGCGTCCTTGGTTCCAGAGCGGGGGAACTCCGCAGGCGGAGCGCTCTGGGCCAGTGACGCAGAGCGCGCTGCGGGCTGCGGGGACTGCGCGGGACGCACGCTCAGCCCGGGATGCGGCCGGCCCCGCGGGGCCAGCGGGCGGTCCTCCGCAGCGGCGCCAGTGACGCGGGAATGCGGGCCAGCTCTGAGCAGGTACGCCCGCCCCCGCCGGGACGGAAGACACCGGGGTGCGGAGACAGGTAGCAGGACAGGTGGGGGCGGGGGCGGGGGTTGCGCAGGGTGGAAGGAGGGTGTCCAGGGATCCAAGGGCGCAGGCCGGGCTGCAGGCACACACGGAGTGCGGGCTAGGGTGCGCGCGCTGCCGGGTGCGGGGACCTAGGTGCTCGCTGCAGGGCTGGTGGGGGCGCGGGGCACTAGCAGGGGCGCTGCGGGGGCAGGCCCAGGGGCAACTCCAGGCTGGAGGGGTGCGGGGACCTAGGTGCGGGGCACAAGCCGGTGCCGCAGGAGCATGGTGGGGGGCAAGCTCCGGGGTGGGGACTCGGGCCTGGGCGCAGGCAGGAGCTTGGGGTGCAGGGATCCAGGCTGCAGGCGGGTGCGGCAAGGCCCCTGGTGCAGTCAGACCTGGGGAGACCCTGAACTTGGCCCATTTGGGACTTAAGCTCCGACCGCAACTTCCCCACCCCCACCTCCACGACCCCAGGCCGGGGCTTTTGGCGGCCCTTTCTTCCTGCCTCGGCCTGTATTGCCGTTCAGTCTTGATAGTGTTTCCACAGCCCTGATTTCAGAGGACAGGACCTGGGAAACAGCAGGGAGCAGGTGCACTACTTAGAAGGAGTAGCAGAGAGGCGGGTGGGGGCGCCCTGGCCAGCCTGCGCTCCCGGAGCCTCACATACAAGTCTGCAGGTTGGGCCTTTCTGGCTTTTTGGCCTTTCTGAGGTGGGTGGGGTGAAGGAGAGGCCCTGCCTGGAGGGGTTCCCAAGGTCCTGGCCCCAGGTGGCTGCTATCAAGCTCCGCCCCAGTACTCCCACTCTGTTTGGACTTGGGGTCTAGTCCCGATGCAGACAGGGGCATGGTCTTTCTCCCTGGACTGCGGGAGCCTGGGGAAGAGGGGTGCCGCCTGGGGGGCAGAAGCCTCTGTGGGGCCCTCTCCCCACCCACTTGTGTTCATGGCTGGTGGCCCCTCTGTGCTCTCTCCTGAGAATGGCTTGGAGCATAGCTCAGACTGGGACATCCACCCAGCTCGGCCCTGCACGTCCAGACCCGCTCGCTCCATGGCAACAGCTTCACATCGCCCTCAGGGGTCCTGTGCCAAACGACATCTGTAGAGGGGCCTTTTTTTTTTTTTTTTTTTGCTATTTCAGACACATTTATACGGCTGCCCTGATTTCATATACTTATTATAATTAGTGCTTATACCATTATGTTCTACTTTTTGAGTCCATTGGTTGTGTTTTGGTTTTTTCCTCTACCTCGTAAGTAAAAATTTCAAAACATGCAGCAAAGTGGAAGTTTTACGGTGACCCCTAGGCAACTACTTTGTGGGGCAGAACGTGCAAGCCCGTGTGCTGGCGGCTTCTGTGTGTTTCTGGCTCACTTCCTTTCAAGAGGTTCTTAACACACACCTGTGCCACTGCACGTGGAGAACCAGGGTGACCACAACCGCTTTCAGGGGGAAATACGTGGTCAGATTTGGGGGAGAACCTCAGAGAAGGTTGAACTGGGGGCTTCGTAAGGTCATGGTCAGCCCTGGGTTTCCAGACTCTTCCAGGACCCAGACTGTGGGGTGGGGAAGGGGGGAGGAGGGGAGGGAGGGAGAGAGAGGGTCAGGCCGACATCTCAGGCTCGGGCTGCTGAACCTGAGGGCCTCTCTGTGTCCTCACAGCGGGGAAGGAGCAAGAGGGCTCCCGGGGGTCTCCTTCCTGAGGGCACTGACCCCAGTCATGGGGGCTCACTCCTCCCCGATCACCTCCCATAGGCCCCGCTGCCTACGGCCATCACCTTTTGGGGGCGCAGTTTCAGCCTATGAATGTCAGGGGAGCACCTTCAGACCCTGGCCTTCCCCTCCTGGCCCCTAGAAGTCACATCCTTCTCGCAGGAGAAATACAATTGCTCCATCCCAACAGCCTGAGTTTGAACTCCTTCCGGCATCAACTCCCAAGTCTGAGTCCAAAGTCCGATCTAAATCTCCTCTAGGGCAGCCCGGGTGGCTCAGTGGGTTAAAGCCTCTGCCTTCGGCTCAGGTCATGATCTCAGGGTCCTGGGATCGAGCCCCACGTCAGGCTCTCTGCTCAGCGGGGAGCCTGCTTCCCCTCTCCCCCCTGCCTACCTCTCTGCCTACTTGTGATCTCTCTCTGTCAAATAAATAAATTTTTAAAAAATTTAAAAAAATTTCCTCTAAGTCAGAGGTCGAGGAGACCCCAGGGACGGTCATGCTGAGCTGTGAAACTGTCCCGAATGCAAGGGTGGGCACCGGAAAGACATGCTCATCCCGAAGGGGAGCACTGGAAGGAAAGTCTGGGTGGCCATGCCCCCAGGCTTGTGGACTTTTCGAAACAGTGGAGATGGCGGCATGGTGCAGGCGCTCCCACCCAGGCCACAGGGGCCCCGGGGTGGCACCCGGGGCTGCTGGAATCGGAGAGCCGAGCCGAGAGGGGAGGGGGCAGGGCGGAGAGGGGAGGGGGCAGGGCGGCTGCTGCTCCCCCGCATCCTCGCACTCCGGGCCGTGCTGGGAGGGCAGCCCGGGGATCTCCGAAAGCCAGGAGCAGCAGGGGTGGGGACGGAGCTTCTTTTCGGGGCCCTCCGTGTTCCAGGCGGGCCTCCGGTACCTGGGCGCCAGCCAGGGCTTCCAGACAGCCCCGGGGCCCTGCTGGGGGACAGAGCGCGGGTGGTGGGGATGGTGTGCGGACCGTGCACGGAGACACAAACCTGGTGCTCTCAGACACCTGCCGCATCTCCCTCTCTGACCTATTCCAGCAGCCCTCCACAGTGTCCTTCCAGAACCTTCAGCCTCGTGAGCTGCAGGAAAGGCTGTCCTGAGCAGGGCAGGAGACTGCAGAAGCTGGAGTGTGAGTGGCCCGTAGGACGGAGCCCCCAGCCCTGAGGAAAGGCAGCTCCAGGCAGGAGGAAGGCTTTGGGGTGCAGCCAGGACGATGGCCGAGCTGGACATGGTCCCCCATCTCCGGCGCAGCAACAGCAGCGTCTGCAAGACCCGGAGGCTACAGCACCTGTTTGGAAACAGCACAAAGGTAGCTTTCCGGCGGCTCAGCAGGCCCCTCGGCCGGCTGCACCACAGCCCTGTGGGGCGCAGGGACCACCAGGGAGGGCTGTGTTTCCTGCCCGGGGCAGAGGCTCCGCGGAGCTGGGGGCCGGGGGCCTGGAGAGAACGGTAAATGGCCAGGCCTGTCCCCTTCCACGGACCACATGACCCCTTCATGTTCTTGGTCTGGTGGGAGGGTTCTGGGGAAGCCCGTTGGTCCTGTCCAGGGCCAGACTCACGGGAGGCCGTCGCCCTTCATGTCCATGATGTGACGGAGGGCCCTGAGCACCACCCACGTCCCGGAGCTGATTGCCTGGGGGCCCGGGACAAGACTGGGGGAAGGGCGCGTTTAACTGGCACGGCCCCTGGTCGGGAGGGTGGGAGGGGTCTCAGCTCGCTGTCTCTCCAGGACCGAGGCAGGTGTCCAGACCCTTATCCGCTGCACGGCTCTGTTCTCGAGGTAGGCAGAGGTGACAGAAACTGCAAGTTCTGGGGTAGTTGAGTGGGGCCCAGGAGGACGCGATCCTCCTGCCAAACCCACACCTGAGGGCCTCGGCGAGGGTCCCCACCCTTCTCCCCCAGCCCCCCAGGAAGGGGTCCCCGAAGCTGGACAGGGCGTTTAGCCGTGTCTAGGAGCTGCGTAGGGTGTGTCCCCCAAATAGGGCTGTGATCCCCCGGGGTCTCAAAGTGCCCTTTTTGCCCTCAGCAAGAAAATCTCAGCTCGTGGGTCCCGCAAAATATCAAGAAGAAGGAATGCGTCTACTTCGTGGAGAGCTCCAAGCTGTCGGACGCCGGGTGAGTGGCCTGGCAGGGTGGCCGCCCCTCCCCCTGCCCACGGGCGTGGCTGTCTGTGTGGTCTTGGGTGCTCGCGGCATTTCCGCTCGCCCGGGAGCTCGCTGTGGGGGAGCAGCTTCCCCGGTCCTGCGTGTAGGGGAGGTGCCGAGGGCGGAATTCACTATGCGGGGTCGTGATGGGACCACTCCGCAGTGGTGCTTGCACTCAAACCCTGCTATTTGGGCGCCACAGGGCATGCCGCTAGAATGTTCCTTTCCTCTGGAGTCGAGAGTGGAGTAGAGAGGGTTCGGGAACCATAAGGGGCCTCAGGGAAAGCCCGCAGCCCAGGCCCCTCACTGCGGAGGGTGCCAAATTCAGACAGGGCCCCCTCACCCCAAAGCCCCCTGATACCACCGTGGCCGTTCCTCCCCACGGAGCCTGTGGCTCTGGTGCGGCCACCACGTCTCCTTCCACAGGCATTCGTGGTCATGCTGCCTCCACACCTTGGGACATCTCACTCCTGGGCCACTGGCTTCCCATGGGGCTCCCCACGAGTCGGGGGGAAGCCTGCGGACAGCTTTGCAGGGACCTCATGGGAGGCGTGGCTGTCATTGGTAGTCCTTGAGGGTGCACGGAGCACGTGTGAGTTCCTGCTTCCCCTGCAGCCACACCCGAGTCCGTGCTGGGCCACGGACGGGCCACGTTCTCTCTTACTTCATCCACTGCTTCCTTGTCACCGACTGTACTCTTGTGGCTTCTGCTGAGCAGCCCTCCCTGACTGCACTGGAAGTAACCTCCCCTCCCCCACGCTCCGGACACGGGTCTTTGATCCAGTCCACGGCACCATGACTGTGTGCCTTTGTGGTGGCAGAGTCACTTTCTCACCTCCTGTCACGGACAGACAGCACCCAGCTCACGTGTGTCACACGGTGTGGCAGGAGCGGCCTGTGCGGGAGGGAGCCCTGTGCGGGGACGGTGGAGAGATGACAGCAGAGTCAGGCAGGAGTGGTCCCCAACGATGAGGCTGTGCCTGGGGTCCTGCGGCATCTGTCCCTATGACATCACGCCCTGCACACGCGTTGGGGTCCACGCCCGGGCTTGGCCCTGCCTCAGAGGACAGTTCTCACCTCCCAGGGCAGGCAGCAGACCCCGGGTCATATGGTTGCTTGCCGGCGCCAGCGCCCAGTGACCTCTGACGCACGCAGCGGGCAGTTCCCAGGCCACACCGCTCAGTCTGATGATGTGCGGAGAGAAATTTGTGTCGAGGTTTCTACTTTTAGTTACTTCAAAATAGGCTCATGGACATAGCCTCAGAGAGCCCTAGAGGCCCCCATGTCCCCATCCATGACCCATGGGCTGCAGACTCATTCTGGAATGGACCATGTCGGGCTTCCAGCTTGCGGGGGTGGGGGCCCCCACCAGCAGCACCCTGGGCCCCTTCTTTGCTCTGAGTTGCGACCAGTGGGGAATGTTGATGGGGGTCAGTGAGGCCTGGGGGTACAGCTTGGGTTTGAGGTACTCCCTTAGTACCCCTTTCCCCACGTTGAAGAAAGTGCTCAGGATGTGTTTGGTTCTGGAAATTTCTAGAAGCTCTTTTATTAGCATCAGGTTAATGCGGGAGCCTGTCCCAGGGAGATAGCAGGGGTGTGTGTCTGGGGACCAGGGGACCGAGCGAGGGCCAGGGAGATGGGGACACCAGAGGAGTTTTACTGTGAGTCCGTGTCTGTATAATTGGTTAGCGGCAACTAGAATGAATGATGTCCACTGTTTCCTGACTGGCTGTGTCTTATTACTTAATGCAGGTCCCTAAATTGTGTTTCAGAAGCTTTAAATGAGCAGGACTTAGAGGACAGGATTTACAGCTGGAGAGGGGAAGCAGGCCCCCCGAGGTCCTGGGGAGAGCTCTGGGGCCCAGGGCACCAGTAGCCTCAGGGAGGGCGGCGAGCTTGCCGAGGGGCGATTGCATGGGGGTTTTCCATCCTCCACTAACTGGGAGCTCAGCAGGCGCGGCCGGGGTCTGGGTCATTGCCCAGAAGCACCGGTGACCCACAGATGATGTCCGAGAGCCCGCTGGTTGACGAAGAGAGCATCGTTATGATCTCTGATTTCCCGTCTCAAAGATTTGGGACCACAGGTGGCACAGTGGGGTCTGCAGAGTGGTCGGGTGCCTGGGGGTTGGGGCTGTCCCCACTGCCCGGTGCCCTGGCGAGCCTGGGGGAGGGCAGTCTGTCCAGCCTGCTGCCAGTCACCATGCTTCCCATGAGGAAGGTGCTGTCCAAGGGCGGGTGGGCCCCAGGGAGAAAGGGGGGCTGATTCCAGGCTGGGGTGGGTGGTGGAGGCTGGTTTCTGGGGGTCCTCAAGGCCACCCTGAGTTCAGTGATTTCTAGGACCCGGTGACAGGCTGTCACAGCACCAGGGCTCACACCAGGCTCAGCAAGGGAAAACACAGGCAGGGTCCAGAGACCCCCACAGGCGGGCTTGCCACACCCTCCCCCTCCCGAGGGACACACCAGCTGGGAAAAGGGCAGCAAGCCGTTGGCCGTGTCTCTGTCCTGCAAAGCCGTTGGGGACTCAGTGCCTGGGGTTAGCCCTGTGGGCGGTTCCCGTAGGCCCCTCTGTCTAGCATCCCCCAAATTCCAGGCCCCAAGGGAAAGCAGGTGTTCTGCATAAATCCCAGCGTTTGCGGGGTCTGGGCCCACGGCAGAGCCCACGGGTCGGGGACTGCATAGCTCTGTGAAAGCCGGGCGGCCGGGGCCGGCGGGGGCCATGTGAGCAGGGTCACCAGCTGCACCAGCTCTCATCTCGGGAGCCGGCTGCGCTTGGCGCAGGGCCCTTCTCATTGGGCCCATCAGACGGGTCCCTCCAGCGGACGGCACGAGGGTGGGGAAGGTCCTCCCCATCACACAACAAGCTTCGGAAAAGGTGCATTTCTACACTTGAACCATTTCCATCAAGTGCGCTAGGGTGTCCCCCACCTTCTTCCAGACCCGAACCCCCCGCCTCCCCCGGCATCTCTAACTGGTTCCACGTCCAGAGGGCCCTCCTCTGCTCTCCCTTCCCTCCACCGCCCCCTGGCCCATCCCCGTATTCTGGCACGCTGACCTCGTGGCCCTGGTGTGCTGGTTCTCTTCCTGGAACACCACATCCTCCGCCGTCTGGCACAGAGACTGAAGCGGGTCCTTCGGAAATGATCTTGAGGACCAGACGAGCGTGCTCAGGGAGTCAAGGCGCCACTCCAGGCCGCAGGGAGGGGCCCAGATGGAGAGACCGCACATCTGCGGGCTCTGTGCTTGCACTGGGACTAGTGCTGGTGTCCCCCTTCATGCCTGTCTGGGCCAAGAGCTCCGCAGAGAGGCTGACTATTTCATTTCTGGGCCAGTGGACTGGGTGCCGTTTCCTGCCTTGAGTCAGCCTAGCGAGCCACTTAGCTTTCAGACCCAGGCTCCGCTGAGAGGACTGGCTCAGGGACGAGCTAGGGAGGTGGCCCGTCAGAGGCCATTAGAGACTTAGAAAGTCGGGGGCAACCCTGGGCCAAGGTACAAGAGCTGGGTCCTCACCCTGGCGGTTCCCTCCCCTGCCGTGGACCACAGGTCGAGGAAGTCACACAGCATGCGGCGTGTACCCTGGGATCACTGCAGGAGACCTTAGTCTCCCTTAGGGGGTCCATGGAGGAGGTCAGTGGGCATGCCCTGAGCTCACCATGGGCAGGCGCTTGTGCTCAGAGCACTGGGAGGACCCCATGGCCATGACACACCCCAGGAGGGGCATCTCTGTAAGAGCCCGGAGCACAGGCCAGGCTGTGGGTCTCTATTTTTTATTTAAATAGAGTGTAGTTAACGCACAATGCATTATTGGTCTCAGGGGTGGAGGTCAGGGAGTCCCGCAGCATGTCCCATCACGTGCCCTCCTGAATGCCCGTCCCCCCTGTCACCCCACCCCCCACCCACCTCCAGCGACCCTGTTTGTTTCCTAGAGTTCAGCATCGCTTACGGTTTGTCTCCCTCCTGATTTTGTCTTGTTTTATTTCCCCCTCCCTTCCTCTATGCCCCTCTGCTTTGTTTCTTAAATCCCACATACGAGTGAGATCGTATAATTGTCTTTCTCGGACTGACTGACTTCGCTCAGCACAATCCCCCCCAGTCCCATCCACGCCGATGCAAAGGGCAGGACGTCTCCCTTTCTGACGGCCGAGTCACATTCCATTGTGTAGACGAACCCCGTCTTCTCTGTCCGTTCATCTGCCGACGGACATCTGGGCTCTTCCCACAGTCTGGCCGTTGTGGACGTCGCTGCTGTGAATACTGGGGGGAAGGGGCCCCTTCGGATCACTCTGTCTTCATCTTTGGGGTAAATACCCAGTAGTGCGATTGCTGGGTTGTAGGGCAGCTCTATTCTCAACTTTCTGAGGACCCTCCACGCTGTTTTCCAGAGTGGCTGCCCCAGCTTGCATTCCCGCCAACAGTGCAGGAGGCTCCCCTTCCTCTGCATCCTCGCCAGCACCTGTCGTTTCCTGACTGGTTCATTTTAGCCATTCTGACCGGTGTGAGGTGGGATCTCACTGTGGTTTTGATTTGTATTTCCCTGATGCCGAGTGATGTGGAGCACTTTCTCATGTGTCTGTTGTCCATCTGGATGTCTTCTTTGCAGAAGTGTCTGTTCATGTCTTTTGCCCATTTCTTAATTGGATTATTTGTTCTTTGGGTGTTGAGTTTGTTAAGTTCTTTATAGATCTTGGATACTAGCCCTCTGTCTGATAAGACATTTGCAAATACTTTCTCCCATTCTGTCAGTTGTCTTTGATTTTGTCAACTGTTGCCTTTGCTGTGCAGAAGCTTTTGATCTTGATGACGTCCCAATAGCTCATTTCTGCCCCTGCTGCCCTTGCCTTCGGAACTGAGTCTAGGGAGAAGTTGCTGTGGCTGAGGTCACAGAGGTCGCTGCCTGTGTCCTCCTCCTCATATTCAGGTCTTCCACCCATCTTGAGTCTACTTCTGTGTGCGGCGTAAGAGGCTGTGGGTCTCCTAACCAACCCGTTCTTGGTGCTCTGTATGCGCCATTGTTTTGCACTAGTTTTATGAATTATTCCTAGGGGCACCTGGAGGCTCAGTTGGGTGTCTGACTTGGGCTCAGGTCATGATCGCAAGGTCCTGGGATCGAGCGTGGGTTGGGGTCTGTGCTCAGTGGGGAGTGTGCTTGTTGCTGTGCCCCTCCCCTGGCTCACATGCGCACGCTCTCTCTCTCTCTCTCTCTCTCAAAGAAATAAGTAAAATCTTAAAAAAATTATTTCTAGAACCTTGTTTGACCCTCAAAGCATTTGTTAGGGTGGGGGTTGGGGAGTGTACTGTTTTCCCCATTGACCAGCAGAGAAGTGGAGAGTCAGAGCAATGCTCTACACTAGGTAATTGGCAGGCAGCCCAGCCGTCCTTCCCCTGTGCTACCTGGCCCTGGTTTCACATGGCCCTGGTCTCACCTGGCCCTGGTCTCACTTGGCCCTGGTCTCGACTGGTTGTTCTGTCTCATCTGGATCTTGTCTTTCAGGTCACTAGATACTAGCAAAAAATCAGAACCTAAACATTCATAATTTCCAATTAAACGAGGTATAAAGAGCACATTCATCTCCTCTTTCTCCTGAAGCCCCAATGAATAGCAGTAAAGGAACAAGAAGTCTCAACCCGTGAACATGAAGGGAATAAGAGAGGAGGTCATGGCTGATGGGAGGCGTGGGTGCACTCTTGCGGGGAAAGCAGAAACCAGAGCGGGGAGTCCCCGAGGTGGGGTTCTCCTGTAGCAGCACCCGCGTTAGGCCAGCTGGGCCCCAGGTCTGGCTGCAAGGCTGGGCATCATGCACCTTGTTGGCCCTGTGTCTAGGGTTTTTTTTAACCTTTTATTTTGGAATAATTGTAGATTTTGGCAAGTTGCCGAGATACAACAGATAGCACCCCTGTTTCCACTGCCGGTTCTGCACTCGTGTTCTCTGCCCCCGTCACCCTAACCCCTGGCAACCGTGAACCCATTCTTCATCCCTTTAACTCTCTCACCTCAAGACTGTTACATAAGGAATCCTACCCTCACAATCTTTTCAGTGTTTCGCTCAGCACAAGCCTTCAAGATCCACTCGGGTTGTTCCATGTGTCCAGTCTGCTCCTCTTCAATGCCGAGTGGTCCGGTCACGTCCAGTTTGCCTCCAACACTATACCTGAAGTGAGATTTTTGAAGAAAACAAGTAATTGGGTCTTATTTTTTTAGCCCACTCTGTCGATCTGTGTTTTTTTAAATTGGCATATTTAGGATATTATATTTAATGTAATTACAGATATGTTAGGATTTGAGTCTGCTGCTGCATTTTTCTGTTTTCAGTTTGGTTTTTTGTTTTTCTTTTTCTGTGCTTCCAGGGGACTTGAGCATGTCTTTGGAGTCCCACTTACCCTTCCTATTGTTCCTTCTCCCTTTCTGATATTCAACCATTCCACCTGCTATCACCCCACTTCTGTTTAGAGAACGTCCTTTATCCCTCCTTTTTGGGTAGCTCTGCGGGTGATTCCCTTAGTTTTCCTGCAGGAGGATGTCCAACTTCCGTTTCCCGTGTGAATCATGTATTTGTTGAGTAGAGAATTCTGGGCTGGTAGGTTCTGGTTTTGTATGCCACTTCCTCCTTGCACTTCTTTTTGGTTTCTGATGAGAAGTTGCTTGTTATTTGAATGATTTCCCCCAATACATAAGTTGTCATTTTGGTCTTGCTGTGTTCAAGATTTTTTCTTTTGTCTTCAGTTTATAGAAGTTTGATTTCTCGTATCCTGGTATGCCTCTCTTTGGGTTCATAGTGTTTGGTGTTTCCTCAGATTCTTGAATCTGTAGATTTATATCTTCTTTCCAAGTGTGGGAGATTTGGGCCATTCATTATTTTTCTTTGCTGTAATAGGTAGTATTTTGTTTTGATTTCAGTTTCTAATTGTTTGTTACTGCTATATAAACATAAAGTTGATTCATTTCTGTTGATATTGTACCCTACAAATGTGTTAGACTTATCGTCGGTCTTATAGCTTTTTATAGATTCCTTAGGATTTTCTACACTCAAAATTATTCATGTGTGAATAAGGATAGTTTTACTTCTTTTCCTATATGTGTGCCTTTTCTTTCTTTTCTTTCCCTCTTTCCCTTCCTTCTTCCTTTCCTTTCCTTTCCTTTCCTTTCCTTTCCTTTCCTTTCGTTTCCTTTCTGCCATTCTTTTAGCCAGGATCTCCAGTGCCATGCTGCCCAGCAGAGCTGAGGGGGGGACACCACTGTCTTGTCCCCAGTCTTCAAGACAAAGTGCTCATCCTTTCATCCTTGAGTATGATGTTAGCAGTAGGAGTTTCACAGATGCTTTTTCACCGGGTTGAGGAAGTTCCCCTCTCTTCTTACTTCATTGAAAGTTGCTATTATAAACAGATGTTGAATTTGGTAAAACACTTTATGCACCCATCAAATTATCATTAGACTTTTCTTCCTTATTCTGTTAATATGATAACGCAACCTTGCATTCCTGAGAAAGCTCCCACTTGGTGATAATTTTTTAAATGAACTTTTCAATGTTAATTCAAGTGTAATGTACAGTGGTTTCAGCTGAATGATACCATGATTCAGCACTTACATACATAACTCAGTGATCATTGTGATTGGTCATAATTTCTTTACATGCTTTTCTAGCCCTGCCTCCTTTCTCTCTTCCCTCTGGGACTGATGACACGCACATTTGGTGTTTTGTCATAGTTCTGCAGGTCCCAGAGGCTATTTATTTAGGTCTGTTTTCTCTCTGGTGTTTGTGTTGGGTTATTTCTATGTTCTATCTTCAAGTTTGTGGATTCTTTCCTCTGCCACCTTCATTCATTGGTGAGTTCACCTACTGATTTTCAAAAACATTTTGGTTAGTTAGTGCATTTTTTACTTCTAAATTTCCATTTGATGTACCTTCTATTTCTTTGCTGAGACTTTATGTTTTTTTTTCATCTTTTTCAAGTGTGTTCATGATTCCTTGGTAAAGCATTTTTGTGAAAGCTGCCATAAAATCCTTGTCAGATAATTCTAACATGTGTATCACCTTGACATTGGGGGCTGCTGTCTTTTCTCATTCTGGTGGAGATTTCCTAGTTCCTGGGATGACTAGTGATTTTCCATCTGAAATTGTGATATTTTGGGTGTTATATGTAAGATTCTGCATCCTGTGTTTTAGCAGGTCCCCTCTGACATATCTGTGCCCTGTGGGGATAGAAGTCCAAGCTTTTTCAGCCTGAGCTGATATGTGGCAGGGAGGGGCTTCTTGTTCCTGTGGGCCTGGGACGGATGCTCAGCTTCCCACTGGGCCTCCACTGACACTGTTGCTGGGGGTGCCTCCTCACTGCTGGGGGGTGAAAGTCCTGACCGTCCATTGGGCCCCTGTTGACGCCCCAGAGGGGAGCACAGATGCAGCTTGCTTCCTCCAGTGACTGTGCGGTCTTTGCAGGAAGGTGGTGTGTGAGTGCGGATACACACGCCAGCAACACTTGGAGGAGGCAACCAGGCCCCACACTTTGCAGGGAAAAGATTGGGACCCCCAAAAACATGTCCAGGAGATGCCAACGGACGCCTTTGGTGACATTGTTTTCAAGGGCCTGGGCCAGAAGGTGGGAAAGGTTGGTCTTCCTCCCTCTGTTGTTCTCACTGTGGATTCGTGTCAACCTTCTGTGATCCGAGGTGGCCAGGACTTCCTGGTGTGGGAGAGAGGCAGGCTGAAACCTGAGGCATCCAGCCTGCCAGCACTGGGGAAGGGGTGGGCGGGGGCTCCACAAGGCTCACAGGGGACCCACGGGGCTCTCTGAGTTCTGGGTCCCCACAGAGCAGGGTGGACCTTGGGCTGGGTGTGTCCTACAGCAGAGAAGCAGGGTGGGGAGGGTCCTGTGGGCACAGGGCTAGGCTAGGGGGGCTGGGAAGGTGCAGCCGGTCTCCTCAGGGTGGCCTGTCCTCCCGCTGGGCCTTGCTTCTGGGCCTTTGCCCCTTCTTCCTCCTCTCAATCTGCGTCCTGTTTGGGCATGGACACTTTGACTCACTGGCGTAGACCCAGGGTGGGAGGTGCCCATCCCGCTGGCGGGGCTCTCAGACATGGCCGCACGGCTCTCTCTGGGGCTCAGCTGTCCACCCGCTGATCCAGCGTGTCCTCTGCTGTCCTTTGACTTCCCTGCAGTACGTCCGCCTCTCCCAGGACACACCCCCCAGCGTGATCTACCACCTCATGACCCAGTACTGGGGCCTGGATGTCCCCAACCTCCTCATCTCGGTGACAGGTGGGGCCAAGGACTTCAACATGAAGCCCAGGCTCAAGAGTGTGTTCCGAAGAGGCCTGGTCAAGGTGGCCCAGACCACAGGTAGCCCTTGGGGCTGGGAGCCATGGGTGGGCTGAGCAGACAGCACTGGGGTGTGGGGACCAGAGCAGCCCTGGGGAGTCCCCAAGGCCATGCCCTGCTGGGTCAGACTTGCCCAGCCCTTTCTTGCTGGCCCACAGGGGCTGCTGCTCAGTTGCTCCTGGGGCGGACACAGCTCTGGTGAGCTCCTGGTGGCCCCACCTGGCTCTGCATCATCAGGAGGCCTGAGGCAACTGTGAGCCAATATGGTGGCCGGTGGAGGAGGCTGCAGGGTTTGTCCTCATCATGGGGATGTCCGTGAGGGTCTCCGTTAACCAAAGCACTGTAGCCTAATCCATCTGTCCACGTCTGAGAGGGAGGAACTGCCGTGCGAGGGGATGGCCTCGGGGTTCTGTGTCCCCCAAGGCCACACTTCCAAGAGCCCAGGGCAGGGCCACAGGGTGTGGCCCTTGGTGCTGTGTCAGAGTGATGCTGGAGCCGTAGCCACAGTGCCCACGGCCTCCAAGGGGGCTACACTGGGTCGGTTCATGGCAGAAGAGCAAGGGTTCTGGGTCCAGGTGATTGGGGCCACCCCGGGAAGGCCGACCCTCCTTCTAGGCTCTGACTTTAGCCACGCAGGAGGGCCACGCCCTCTGTTTGGTCCTTGCCCCGAAACAGAGCCTCGGTCTGAGTCCTCCTGGAGTCTCCTCACTTGCGGGACCAGGCTAAATGCGTCCGTCACCCAGGCATGCTCCTGACCGGGGCTGTGAACCCATTAGGGGCTCACCTGTCCTGCAGGTCATCTCAGGTGACACGCCTTGATGGTTATCTTGTTAGCATTCAGTAGCAGTGTCCCCGCCCCAAAGCCCAAGCCACATGTTTGAGCGGGTTCCTCAGGCACAGCCGCACAGAACTGGGGGGGGTCTTCCTCCGGGCGGAAGACAGACAGGGGTGCGGCAGAAGCGGCTGTGACACAATCTCGCGTCACCCAGGCCTGGCGTCCCTTCTCCTTGCCTGTCCGGGATGACCAGAGCCGGTCCCCTGGGTCAGGCTGGACCACAGCAGGGAAGGGGGTGCCCTGTGGGGGCCACTGCGAGCCGCATGCCCAGTGGGTACCGTGGTGAAGTGAGGAGGTTGGGAGCTGGGGTTCAGGCCGCCACACTCAGGCCCCAGGAACCACGGGGAAGAAGGGACATTTATGTCTTGGAGTAGAAGAATTCAGACAGACGTGTTCCCCAGTGCAGGACAGAGAGAGGCAGCGGGCAGGTGGGGAGAGAGGCCTGCAGTCCCCGTCCCTGTCCCCCACCCCCGGCCTGGGCAGGTGGGAAGCCTCGGCCCCTGGAGCTGCACCGCGAAGGCAGGATCACAGTGCGGCTTCCTCCGTGGTCCCGGCCCTGAGATGCTCCCGACGAGGAGTCGGAGAGCCCAGTGGAGGCCCCGCAGATCCACGGGAGGGAGCACCAGGGCGACAGGGTCAGGCTGGCGTGTGGCAGGCGCTCACCTCTGCTCCTCTCCCCAGGGGCCTGGATTATCACCGGAGGGTCCCACGCGGGCGTCATGAAGCAGGTGGGCGAGGCGGTGCGGGACTTCACCCTGAGCAGCTGCCACGATGAGGGAGACGTCGTCACTGTCGGAATTGCCACGTGGGGCACCGTGCACAACCGAGAGGGCCTGATCCATCCCTCGGTGAGCTAAGCAGCCCCCCTGGGGTGCTGGTCAGGGTCAGGGCCTGATCCATCCCTTAGAGAGCTCAGTGGCCCACCCCCCGGGGGTGTGGGTCAGAGGAGGTCAGGTGCGGAATCCCACTAGGTACAGCAGGGGACAGGCCTCCGTCTGGACCCCGGGCTAAGTGCAGTGGGGAGGGAAGGGCCTGGCCAGGGGCCCAAGAGACCGGGGCTCATGCCCGGCCGCACTGTAGCCCCTGACGGCCGGGCCAGCAGCTAACTGGGCTGGGTGTCCTTATGACCACGGGACGGCTCCAAGCAGGAGCCTCAGGGCCACCACGGGTCATCCCGACAGCCGTTCCGACAGGTCATGGATTTCGCAGACGGCAGGATCTGTACGGATTGGGGTGCACTGAGGCTCTGCGGTGGCCCCAGCCCAGAGTGGAGTGTGGCAGTCACGGCCACCAGGCGTGTGGAGGAGGGCGCGGTAGTGGGAGGCCAGCCGTCGAACACGGAGAAGGTCATCGGTTCCTTCAGCGAGAGTCTTAAAAGACGCAGCGGGTTTGGTTCGACGAGCGCACGTGCACTTAATTCCCACAGTCGGGGACGTTCCGGGAACACGCTGGCCTGACGGGCCGTGAGCGGGGACTTACGAGTGGGGGCCTCCCGCCTTCCGGGGCCACCCAGTGCTCTTTCCCAGGAAGAACCCTCTGGAATGGGGACTGCTTTTCCCTCATGGTTACTGGTGATTTGGCCAGCCTGCCCCCGGTCTTTGTCCTTCAGTGGTGGAGCCGCCGGGGCGCTCAGCGGGGCAGGACTGGTTCCACCTTGCGTGCTCCTTCTGGGGAGTGGAAACCGAGGCCGAGAGATGGGGTCGCCTTGGAGACCACTCTTGACTTTCTCCCCGTGACACCTCCATGCCATCCTCTGCAGACGACAGGAGTGCATGCGCTGGCCCCGTCCCTCCTGGGTCAGTGTCCTGGGGCCACTGGAACCGTGATCGCAGATGTGGCCACTGAAAGCCGCAGAAATGCATCCTCCCCCTTCCGGACGCCAGAGGTCAGGAATGAGGTCAAAGTGTGGACGGGCTGTCCTCCCTCCAGAGGCTCTGGGGAGGCTGCTTCTGCCTCCAGACTCTGCTGCCCCCTGGGCCTGCCCTGACTGGGGTTCTGATGTCTTTGGACGACAGGGGCTCAGCCCGTTGCAGGCGGCCCTCAACCCCCAGAGATTCACGTCCATTGTACGTGCAAACTGTATTCACCCCAACCCTAGGCTCCCCACACATCAACCCATTACAGCACCTGCTCAGCCTGAAAGTCCCCGATCCCAGCCTCTGGGTCCTCCAAGTCTGGCAGGAGCGACACTTTGCGTGTGACCCATCCTGAGACAGCACCCCCCTCGTGCGTGGACCCGTGACCCCGGGAAACAAGCTACTTTCTTCTGGAACACAATAATGGGACAGGCAGCCTAGAGCAGCTGCCCATTCTCATCCCAAAAGGGGAACGTGCCAGGAATAAAGGGGTCTTGGTCGCTGAACTCTGGAGTCTCTGTGACTTGAGGCCCAGCTTCCGCCTCATCCGTGACCCTGCCCCGGGGATGATCGTGCCGTTTTCTTGAAGGTTATCTGCTGGTTTCCCGCCTGCCGTGGTCTGGGAGTCTGACATCCCGTGTCCCTTCAGTCCTGGTTAGCCAGGCTTCCGCTGACACGACATCCTGTCTTCCTGGCGTGTGTCGTGTGCCGCAGACACGGAGCCGGCCCTCAGCGCCTTTGTGGGTGATGCCGCCTCTGTTCCAGGCTCCCCGAGGTGGTGGAGCCAGAGCCACGCGCCTCCCATGCCATCCCCTGCGAACATCCAGCCCTGCCCGGGAGCCGGCCTCCTGTCGGCGCAGGCCGCCTTCCCAAGCTGGACAGGCTGAGCGCGTCCCAGGTCTTCAAGTCCCGGTTCCCTCAACGTGCCCCCTTCCTCAGCAAGAAGCCAGGGGCACCTGCCCGCTGCTCGTCCGCGTCCACGCCCGTCACTTACACTCGTGCCCTCCGCACAGCGGCCGCGTGCAGCTCAGGGAGCAACCGTCATCCCCCCGTTTCCAATGCCGTGGTCCTCGTGCCCTCTGGGCCGCCCCAGCAGCCCCTCGGCCTCCGTCCACACGGCTGGAAGACCGGAACCGCTCGCTCCGCCTGCTCTCCCTGCCCTCCGCCAGCGCCGGGGCCTCTGCCGCCGCGCTCCCACCGGGTCCATTCCAGGCTCTCCCGCCACGTGCCGTGTTCTGCCAGCCTCCACCGTCACCGCGCTCCGGAACCCTCCCGCACCTGCGACAGCGACACCCCGATTCCAGCTGGAGGCCGCACGACGGGGGTCTCTCCCTCTCCTGGAGGCCGGAGTCCGAACCCCTGCGGCTCGACCCCACGCAGGCGTCGGGAGCTGTCGGGGAGCCGCGCCTGGTCTGGCATTCACAGCCGCGGGGCCCGCCCCCCGGTAGTCCGTCTCCCTCTGCCACCCCGGGAGGTGGCGTTTAGGACCTGCCTGGACCCTTCAGGATAACCCTCCCGTGTCACCATCCTTTATTTCATCAAATCTGCAGTGACTGTTTTTCCAAATTAGGTAACATTCGTAGTTTCCAGGGTTGAGGGCTTCTTGTCTTTGGGGGTCAGTATCCAGCCTCGCAGACCCCCCAGTCCTAGCGTTCCAGACGCAGAGCTCCCCGTCTGTCTGTGCCTGACGCGTCTCCGCTGTCCCCAGGGCGGCTTTCCTGCGGAGTACATCGTGGACGAGGAAGGCCAGGGGTGCCTGAGCTGCCTGGACAGTAACCACTCCCACTTCATCCTTGTGGACGACGGGACCCACGGCCGCTACGGGGTCGAGATCCCCCTGAGGACGAAGCTGGAGAAGTTCGTGTCGGAGCAGACAAAGGAAAGAGGAGGCAAGTGGCGCGTCGCTTCGAGGCTCTCCGTGTTGGGGGGAGCCGGCTGGTCCAGGGGCCTGGGGCATGGCGGGCTGTGAGCAGGACGGTCAGCAGGTGGGGGTCAGGGGTGCCCTGAGCGCCGCTGGACTTGGTCCCGCCGTCTCCCCACACCCGCTCAGCGGGGACGTGTCTGTCACCCGGTTTGACCGCCGGAGGGAGGTGGGCAAGCCCCCAGCTCTCCCGCTCTCTCGCGGGCCGTTGACCACCTACAATCACGCTACACCCCCCGCGTGGGCTCTGTCCAGAAGCGAGAACATATAGGACGCGGCCCTGACGTCGGTCCCATTGTGGGTGAGATGGGGGGTTCCAGGTGCAGGGATTCAAGCAGGATTTGGGGGGAGGAGAAGGGACACGGAGCGGCAGGTTCCCGGCTCCACGGCGGGGGGGTGGGGGCCTTTGAGCAGCGAGCAGTGGTGCCCCCCGAGGACTCGCCAGCCTGGCATGCGGGGCCCTGAGTGCAGGCGGCTGGGACACACCGCCCTTCTCCGTCCTCGGGTGAGGCTGACGCTAGGAGGGCAAGGGGGGGCGGTGGGCAGAGCCGCCGCAGCGGCACCTGGATGCACAGTCTGCTGCCCAGGAGGGGTTTCTAAAGTCCTCCGCTGGCGGGAGGGGAGGGAAGGTTCAGGGTAGGGGGGAGGGTGGGCCAGAGGACGGAGGTCCCGCGCCGCATGCCCCCCCCGGACGGTGCCTTCTGCCCACCGGCTCAGTGCGTCCCCATGTCCCCACGGCGGGCCCAGATTTGAGGCCCCATAAAAGGGCCGTGAGAGAAGCAGGCTGGTGGTGGTGGCTGGCCAGGCAGACAGCCCTCCTCCCCTCCAGCCCCAGAAGGGACACGCGGTAGGCGACGGGGCGGGGTGGGGGGCGACTCAGGCCTTGGATCTGTTCTCCTGACGTGGAGCACTCGGGCCTGACCGGCCGCTGAGGGCAGAGCGTCAGCCTTTGGAAGCTCCTGAGAGCCTTCCGCGATCTCCCATCCTGTGCACCGGCCGGGATTAGGCTGGGGCCGGTGGGAGGCAGGCGAGGGTGCCCAGGTGGGGGGCCGAGTCCCCATGTCCCCTAAATCGGGGTTCCTGGCTCCGTCCTAGGTGTGGCCATCAAGATCCCTGTCGTCTGTGTGGTGCTGGAAGGGGGGCCCGGCACCCTGCATGTGAGTACCGGCTCGGGGGTGGGGCTCTGGAGGTCAAGCTCACAGCTGGCTGGAAGGCCCGGCCAGCATCCTGCAGGGCCCCTAGGAAGGGCGGGCCAGGAGAAAGGGAGGGGCGCGTGGCAGGGCCCTTCCTGGCGTGGTGGGAAGGTCAGCTTCGAGGAGGAGCCCTGCAGGGGAAGGGCGTTATGGCTTCGGCCCTGGGTGTCCAGCCAGGAAGAGGGGCCCCAGGAGGGAGCGGGATGGCCCCTGGCTTCTAAGAGCCCCAGAAGGGTTCTCGAAGGGGTTGCCCTCAGGCTCTGCCCTGGCCCCATGGGACTACAGCTAAGTGTAAGGCAGGCTCCCATGGAGAAAACAGACCATGGCGTCTGCCTGGCCCTGCTGGGGGACCACTGGCTGACTTCACAGATAGCACCTAGACCTGCCTCGTCAGCCCAGGGGATGTCCTTCCCGTGGGGGGTCTGAGGCCCTTCCTGAAGCCTATCTCGCTTTCGGTGTCTGGGGTCTGCCTGGAGGGGTCCTGGTCTCATGCTGGGCCTGTCCGAGGGACAGGTCAGGCGGCACAGTCTCCCGCAACACAGATCGATGGGTCAAAACGTCGTGGGGGTTCTGTTTCGGGGGTCACGGTCCACCCGAGCAGCGGGCCTGGCGGGTCTGTCAGGACGAGCGGCCTTGCCCCTCCGGGCAGGGGAATGCTCCCAAACCCCGCGTTTTCAGTACACTTCACGGGAGCCCCTTAGCCCTGGCCGCGAGCCACGGCACTAGAGAAGTCCTGCCTTGCAGACCATCTACAACGCCATCACCACCGGCACGCCCTGTGTGGTCATGGAGGGCTCGGGCCGCGTGGCCGACGTCGTCGCCCAGCTGGCCGGCCTGCCCATACCCGAGGTCACCACCTCCAGGGTTCAGGAGAAGCTCAGCCTGTACTTCCAGGAGACGTTTGAGACCCTCAGTGAGGGCAGGATTGTCGAGTGGACCAAAAAGGTCAGCCGTCCTGCCGGGGGAGGGCTTGGCCTGAGCCTCTTGGCCCTCGAGGCTCAGGCCGGGCTGGGGAGCGGCGGGCGATGACAGTGCGGCTGTTCCGGAAGAGAGGCCGGCTGGGTTCGGGGGCGGGAGGCCGCTGCTTTAGGCAGGGCAGGGGCAGAGGAGTAGGGAGTCGAGATCCAGGCCACAGGGGCGCTGCCAGGTGACAGCCACGCGCACAAGGGTCTGGCACAGCCTGCAAGCCTGGCGAGTTCCCGCCTCCCCTGACCCGGGGCAGATGAACGGAGGCGTGAGAGGGCCCGCAGGGCAGGGGCGTGGGTGAGGGGCTCTGGGGTACGGTGCGGCACCTGGAAGGGGCTTCATGGGCACCCCTCAGCTAGAGGCATCGGCAGGAGGGGCCCCTCCTGGGGAACCTGCGGGTGCGGAGAGCAGGGAGCCTTCCAGGCCACCCCCCTCCGGTCTTCAGGACCAGGTGGTCACAGCGGTGACGGTGACACGATTGTCCTGCATTTCAGGAGTTTTGCCCTTAAATGCAGTGACTTTGTCCTTTTATGCCCAAGGTGGCAGGTGACTTGTTCCCATATGGGGATGACTCTGCAAGGGCCCCTCAGAGGGGGTCCCCACAGGCGGCCGGGGTGCAGTGGGGGCCGGCATGGGGGGTGTGGCTGCATCGGCCCTCGCTGACGCCCGCAGCCCTGGCCAGCTCAGGGGACTCCTCTGGCTCCCAGGGTCACGTGGCCCCTGCCGTCCCCGCTGCTCTCTGAACCCGGGGCTCCGGGCCCACCTGTGAGGCCCCCTGACCTCTGTTTCACAGCCGGTTCCTGGTTGGGGGTGGGGGCTCTCGGACCCTTGGCTTCCCCAACCAGCAGCTCTGTGAACAGCCAGCCAGCTTGTGAAAACGCCTGCACGTCGGAGGTGTCATGTGTCCGACGGGCGTTTCTCAGGGCAAGTGTGTAGACCAGCTTAGCTCGTCCCATGGTGTCCAATCGCAAGCCGCGCGGACCGCGTGCCCTGCAGGGACCCAGGGACGCCGTGGTCGGCCAAGTGGAGGGGCATGCGAGCCTGGGGAGGCCTTGGGCCCTGGCAGGGGCAGCAGGGCTCGCTCTCGAGGGGACAGACATGGTTTTTCGGGGTCTCTGTGGGCGGCACAGTGACCTCGTTCTCGTGGACGTGTCCTGCGGTCTCTGAGCAACCGCGTCCGATCCCGAGGTTGCCTGAGACATTTTGCCCTGAGCACGGCTCCGCCTGCAAAGACGCCGAGATCCGGCGGTGAGCATCGGCTCGGCTCCTGATGGCCGGGGGCCCTGGGCAGGCGCGCCCTGGGGCCTTTTCCGAGTCAGTTTATAAATTATTCAGGCAATTCTTAGAACTGGTCCTCACCCGGTGCTGTCAGCAGGTGCCTGCTTCCATCCGCTCTCCGTTACTGACTCAAAGCCCTAGAAACGGTCTCGTACGAGTCCGTCTCAAGCCTCGCCGTCCACTGTCATTCTCGTTCTGGGGGACGGGGGCCCCCAGCTAGGGTCACGATCCGACATCAACAAACCTCAGAGTGTTGGTCTACACCGCAGGTGGCGGCAGGAGGGAATACGGGGCCTTGCTCGCCGCTGCTGCCGCTGGTGGGCCCGGACATCTGCCACGGGGCTGGGCTCGTGCGGGGGGCTTGCTGCGACGCCAGAGAGCTGTGTGTCAACAGGAAATTGTTGGCTCTCTCTGAGCGCTGCTTCTCTTGTCCTGAAAAATGGACAATTATTGCTTAAGCCCAGAGGACACCGTGGTCGGCGCTGTGGCCACACACCTGAGCTCCAACGCTGGGAGCTACTCTCACTCCGACCCAGGGCTGCGGGGAACGCAGGAGATGTTATTTCGGCGGGCGGGGGGTGCTGGGGAGGAGGATGGCAGGGGGAAGTATTTTGGAGTCGATGAGAAAGGTGGCCTGAGGGACGGGGAAGGTTGGGGTCTTAGAGGAGGTGGTGGGAGGAGGGAGGCCACCCTGGAGGTGGGCGGTGCGGCCAGGCTGGGGGCAGAGGCAGGGGTGGGGGGAGGCGAGGCTGGGCGAGGCCGGCTGGGGGGCTGGGGAGAGAGGTGGGCAGCTAGGCCAGATGTGCTTGTGAAAGGCCCACCCTGGCCTCTGGGTGCACAGAGCGGGCTGGCAGGCTCAGAGGTGACAGATGGAGGGGCGGAGGGATGTAGTAGGTGGCTGGACATACGGACGGGTAGGTAGGTAGGACGGACGGACGGGTGGGTACGTGGACAGGCCGGTAGGTGGGTGGGGGCTGACTGGATGGCTGGGTGGGCGGGCAGGCAGGTAGGCAGGTGAGGAGGGCGGGGCCCCAGCAGGAGGAGGGTTGGGGGGGGGGTCTCAGCGTCAGTGCTGTTGGGCCTTTGGCAGACAGTCTCGGGTTGGGGTGAAACTCCGGAGCCCTGGGGGTGTTTCCACGGGTGCCCTCTCGGGAACGGTGCCTGTTCAGTCCTTACGTGTCTTCACCTTCACCGTCTGGGCCGCGGGGAGGCGAGGCGCTGTGCCCAGGCCGTCCCCACAGGCTGGACTCACGCCGGGGCTCGGCCGCGGCCTGGGGTCTCGATTCTGCAGGTGACCCGTGAGGAGGCGGGGGGCCTGCTTGTCCCCCCAGAGCCCACCCGGGCCATGTTTGTTGCAGATTCAAGACATCGTCCGGAGGCGACAGCTGCTGACCATCTTCCGGGAAGGCAAGGACGGCCAGCAGGACGTGGACGTGGCCATCCTGCAGGCCTTACTGAAAGGTGAGGGTCAGGCAAGGGGGGCGAGAGGGGGAAGCGGAAGGAGGGGGGCTCGGGACCCCGAGTTTGCACAAGCCGAAGAACTGGGCCCTGGTCAGACGTGCTGGTCAGAGGGCAGCTGGCAGTGGACGGCGCTGTGGTCCGCCTCACTCTCCTGCCTGGCAGGGGGAGGGGTGCCTGCTGCTGGTATTGGGGGTCCGGGCCCCTTTCTGCTGTTTCTCTGTTTCACTGGGACCCGAGGGCGGCCACACTGAGGTGCCCCCATGGTCGTCCCAGCTGCACACACGATTCCGGGTGTCGGGAGGCCTGCTCCTGCTGCCCACGAGTCCTCGCATGCAGGAGGGACGCCCCCCCGTCCCAAAGTTCCTGCCCACGGCAGCCAAGCTTCCCCCACTCCCCTCCTGGAGGAGCGCAGATACCCCCGTCCCTCCCGGGGGCTCTGATGGGTCTGTAGGCGTCCGGCTGTTCTGTCTGCGGGCCGCTGGTCACCCTCGAGGGATGCGAGCCGGGTGGCGGGGCCGGAAGCTCTGGGGGGGGTGTCTCCGACCCGGGATTTGCTCCGCGCTCTCCTCCTGACCTGAAACCTCGCAGAACCAGCGAGATGGTTAAAACCAGGACCGGGGCTCCCGTTGGACGACCTCCGGCCAGGGAGGCAGAGGAGCGGGAGGAGCTGGTTGAGTAGGTCAGAGTCCCGCGGAGGACGGCCGTGCGGCAGAGCAGGAGCTGGGACGCCGCTGTGGGCCCCGCGGGCCCCGCCGGCAAGGACATGGGCCACTGGGGAGCCGGTGCGAATGTCTGCATGACGACAGGGGCTTGATGGTCTCACCTCGTGCCGCCCGACCCTTCTGTTCACAGACGGGGCCGTGAGGGCGGCTGTCCCCTCCTGCCTTCTGTGAAGTGGCCTAAGGAGCAAGAAGACGGGCACCCAGCTGCCCGCGTCTGGTCAAATCCCCTCGAAGGCGGGGACAGGGGTTCCCGGGGCCCTGAGCGTGGCCATCGTGCACAGCGCTAGAGAGGGAAGGACCCCTGCCCATAGGGGAGGTGGACCCCAACGTCTGCTCTCCGAGTGTGCTCCCGGGACATCCAGCGCTACAAATCGTGGTTTTTCTGGGGTGCGTGCCGAGCAGGAAGGGCAGCCCGGAGCCTCAGGGGCGTTGGGAGTTCTATTTCTTGATCCCAGTGGTGGTTACACGCGGGTGTAGACGTCAGCCAGAGTCACTGAGCGGCACAGTTAAGGCTGTGAAGCTGAGGCGGGCGTCAGGGAGAGCTTGTTGCCGTCAGCGCCGTGCGGTCCAGCCGCCGTGGACGGTGCCTCCCATGTCCCATCCCGGGGGAGAGCGGGTCCTGGGAGGGTATTTGTTCTGGAAGCAACAGGCTGTGGTTGGTTGTGACTGGCTGCTCAGGAGAAAGGCCGTGGGACGGTGGGAGACGGGACTCTCTCTGTTATGGGAGCACATACGAAAAAATAGAAACACATGGACACACATACACGGTTTTTCAGGGACAACCCTTTAAACATCACCTTCCTTGAAGTGCGGCTTGTACACAGTCACCGTCCCCCATCCTGAGTTGACCGTGATGTGCACTAGGACAGGTCTGCCTCCCGCGCACCCACCCAATCCGGCACGGGACACTTCCCCCCACCCCCCGAAAGCTCCCTGTGCCTCCACGGGCCCGGGGCAACCCTTTCTCTGCGTCTGTCCTAGACGGGCCTTCCCGGTGCCAGAGCCTCACGTAAACAGAACCATGCCCACCGCTCCCCCGGGTCTCCCTTCTCCGGTTCAGGGCGACGTTCTGGAGCTCTCTCTGCGTTGTCGCCTGTCTCGGAACTCGGTTCCTTCCTGCCGCGAGTGTCCTTGCCGCCAGGTGTCCCGCTTGGGGGCCACGGGGCTCGCAGGCCGCCTCCAGTGTGAGGCTATTGTTCGTAAAGCTGCCGTTTGCCCTTGTTTCTCTGGGGACCACGTCTAGGAGTGGGCTTTCTGGTTGTTTATGGTAAGCGTATGTCAAACTTGATAAGAAACCACCAAACTGTTTTCCAACAAGATCGCCGCACTTCTCCCCTCGCCCGGGTGCCCGCGGGGCCAGCAGCTAGGCGTCCTCGCCACCCCTCACACAGCCCGCGGTCTGGGGGCACGTGACAGCTCGGGGTGGTTTGAGTTTGCTTCTCCCCGACGGCCGCCGGCGTCCGGGCTTGCTGGCCGCGCACGTGTCATCCTGGCGACAGGCCTCTCAGGTCTTCTGTCCGCTCTATTTGGTTGTTGGTCGTCTCATCGTTGCGTCGCGGGAGTTCTTGGTGTACTCGGGTACAGATCCTGTGCCAATACTCGCCCTGGGGTGTGTTGGGTCCTGGCCCCCTTCCCTAGTTCCTTCACAGTGTCTTCGGAGAGCAGAAGGCTCGGGTTTTACCGGAGCCCAGTCGGTCCGTTCTGTCCCGTCTGGCTCATGCTCTCCACACCCGCACCCCTGCTTCACACGGCAGCAACTTGGGCTCAGCCTTCCTGACCCCGTCTCCACGCCGTTCCTCGCACTGGCTTCTGTGTCTTCTGTGCAAAAAGGGTCAAGTTCCTGTTTCCTTCCCCAAATCACCACCCAGGCTCTAGGGCGTAAAGCCAGCGAGGGGAGCAGGAACTTGCCGGCAGAACGCCCGTGGCGAGAGCCTGGCCAAGCTCCGGTTCTGCATCCAAGGCGGAAAGGGAGCGGACGCGTGGGCAGGGGCACCGCAAACGCTCCTGCGGAAACGCCTGCCTGTCCGACGCGGTGCCTTCTTCCGGGGGCCGAGGGGCTTGACCAGGCGGGGGCAGGGGTGAGCCAGGGCGATGCCCCAAACCGCCTTTTACCTGCAGCCTCTCGGAGCCACGACTACTTTGGCCACGAGAACTGGGACCAGCAGCTGAAGTTGGCCGTGGCATGGAACCGCGTGGACATCGCCCGGAGCGAGATCTTCTCCGGCGAGCGGCAGTGGAAGGTAGGGCCCCTGCGCAGCCCTGTGGTGGGCCTTACTGGCCGGCAAGAGCGGGGACAGGCCCCGGAGGGGGCCCTCTGTCCACCCCAGCCCTGGTCCTGGTGGAGAGCGCTCCGGGCCGCTTCCTCCCTTCCCGAGTCAGGGACCGCAGCGCTCCGGTTCCAGCGGCCCCGCGAGGGGGTGTGCGCGGGGTGCGCCCCACGGCGCTCTCTCTCAGCCCTCAGAGCTGTACCCCGTGATGACGGCGGCCCTCATCTCCAACAAGCCCGAGTTCGTGAAGCTCTTCCTGGAGAACGGCGTGCGGCTGAAGGAGTTCGTCACGTGGGACACCCTGCTCTCCCTGTACCAGCACCTGGACCCCTCCTGCCTGTTCCACAGCAAGCTGCAGAAGGTGCTGGCTGAGGATCCCGAGCTGCCGGCCGGCGGGCCCACCGTCCCCCGCGTGCAGATGCACCACGTGGCCCAGGTGCTCCGGGAGCTGCTGGGGGCCTTCACGCAGCCGCTGTACCCCCGGCCTCGGCCCGGCGACCGGCCCCGGCTCCTGCTCCCGGTGCCCAACATGAAGCTCAGCGTGCGTGCTGGTGACCCCCTCCCGCCGCCCCCCCACCCCACCCCGCCGCTGGGCCCGGGTGCTGGGCCGCTGCTAGGTCCTTAGCGCTTCTGTTTTAAGAAACGATCTCTTATTTCCATTGGAAAAGAAACGTGCTCCCCATCTTGGTCTGTCAGGGCCGCCATCCCAAAATACCGTAGACCGGGGGCTTAGACAGCATTTGGTCTCCCACAGTCCAGAGGCTGAAGCTCACAGTCGAGGCGTCAGCGGGCTTGGGGCCTGCTGGGGCCTCCCTCCCGGGCTTGAGGACGGCCGCCTTCTTGCCATGTCCGCGTGTGGTCTTCGTTTGGTGGACGGGCGGAGAAATACAGAGAGCAATGGTGGACACCATCTTCTCTTCTTCCAGGGACACCGGTCCTATGAAATCAGGGCCACAGTCACCTCCTTAGATGCCCCGTCTCCAAACACAGTCACTCTAGGAGGCGGGGCCTCAACATACAAAATCTGGGGACACGTCTCAGTCCATGCTTCTCCCTTTCTAGAAATCTCAAACAGTACAAAAGGTAATATGGGGGAAGTGGTCCCTCTCGTGCCTCGGACCCCCAGTCCTGGCCACCATGTGGTCAGGCCAACAGGATTCCACCACAGCACTGTCAGGATGCCCAGCGTGTGCACTGCAGCACAGGAGAAGTCGTTTTCTAGTCTCTGTCCGTATTGGATGGGAATCCTGCAGCATCTCAGTGCTAAGTGGGAGGCCGGGTTTGCACTCACGTTACCGAATATCCTCCTCTCTGGTTCTTCAGGCTTCTACAAATGAAGCCCAAGCACTGAGTTTTATCAGTTTTATCAGTTTTGTCAGGTGCCTTTTGAGAACTGGAATGGCTCTTCTTCGTTAAACTATGAATTTGCTGAATTATTTCAATAGATTTCCTGATGGCAAAACATACTTATTCTTGTTTTGATCTTAAGTTGATCGCGGGTGACGTGTGTTTAGTATGACGCTGGGTTATGTTGCCAATATTTTCATGGTTTTTGCACCAGAATGTCTGCGCCTTGGAAGGTAGTTTTATTTTGGGGGCATTTTTGTCAGGTTCTGGTACCAGCTTTATGTGATCCTTGTGAAAACCACTGGGAAACCTTCCTTATTTCTTTGCTCTGGAGCCATTTATGTGGCTGGAGTTCACTGTTCTTATGAGCTCAAGAAGCTCTCCTATGAGTCCATCAGGGCTCAGGGCCTTTTTGGGTAGTAGCTCTGAGAATTTCCTCAGTTTCTTTTCTGATAATTTCTCAGTTTAGGTTTTCTGTGTGTTCTATGACCAGAGTTGGTTTTTATATCTAGCAGAAAATTAGCCACTTCATTCAGGTTTTCAGATTCATCCGTTGTCTCAGGTGGGCTCCGTCTGAGCTCTGGGAGAAAGGGGTTGTGCCTGGGCTTTGCATATTCATTCACCACTCGCTCTTTGAGATTCTGGTGTATTTAAGATGCCCTTTATGACGGTCCAAGCTGGAAGCTCATACTTAGACACGTCGGTAATTTATTTAGTTTACCAACTAATCACTTTTAACATAAAGACAAGCCTTCAGGAAATTTCTAAAATTTCTTTAAAAAAGCGGAATTTTGTGTGTCACGTGGGGAATGTGTTCTCACTTCTGGTTATGTTTTCCGGACCGTCTGAGTAGGTGTTTACGGTTGGATGAGCTAGGAGGCTGGATTCCCATGTCACTGCGTAAGCTGAGTCTGGGGGGAGGTGCCCTCCGGCTCACATGTGACCCTTGTCTGTTCGGCTTTTTCTCGGTGGCCTTCTCTGCAGGAGACACTGTGTAGATGCCCTTGAGAAACTCACAGCCGTGACTCTCTAACAGACTCTGTGCTAGAAGTTGACTTCCCAGAAAGGCTTTGATGCCGTCAGAAAAGTCTCAGGAAACTCGCGGTGCCTGGTGTGTGAAGAAGAGGCTAGGCCAGGAGTTAGCTGGGCATTCCACTTTCCGAATGTTTCCACGCGTCTCCAGAGGGAGGGTTTTAAATCTCTGGTGTGCAGGAAATCGATCTAAGGTGGTGTTGAAACTGCAGGTTGCTGGCCTCAGCCTCCAGGGACAGTGGTTCTGGGAAGGTGTGGACCTGGGCTCAGGGCTGCACCCTCAGCAGGCCCACCCGGGGTGACCGACAGTACTGGGGGCCTAGGAGAGGTTCTGAATGTTCGCTGCTCTCCAGATGCAGGGAGTGAGCCTCCGGTCCCTCCACAAGCGCTCATCAGGACATGTGGCCTTCACCATGGACCCGGTCCGTGATCTTCTCATTTGGGCCATCGTCCAGAGTCGTCGGGAGCTGGCAGAAATCATCTGGGCCCAGGTAACTAGGCCCGTTTCTCAAGAAGCATGGCTGCGTGTGGACCAGCGACAGGGCTCCGGCCAGGGAGTGTGTCCAGAAAGCCCAGGGCCAACAGCAAGTAGAGGAAAGTGCAGCTTTGGAGGGAGGGCGGGGGTGCCCATGACCATGGAAGGGACCCAGGGTGCATAGTGTTGGAGGACAGAGAGCCGGGCTCAGGCAGGAAAAGAAATTTAGGGAGGTGTGTTGCCTCCTGTCCTTCTGTCCAGGGCGGAGGCTGTGTGTGTGGGCACAGCTCGGAGCAGCCACCTGCCATGGCCCACACGGTGGGTGGGGGTTGGTGGGTCACCTGTGCCGTGGCCAGCCTGCTCTGTGGCGACTCTGCAGAAGGTGATATCCCTGGGGGGCTGCATCTCCTTTCACTGACCGTCAGGGATGTCGACAGAGTCTGTGACTCAGATGGAGAATGAGCCCCGTGTGAGCCTGCCCTGGGCCCCTCTGTGGGTTGCCTGGGGACATCGGCCCTCAGCTCCCTTATCACTAGGCCGTGGGCAGCTTCATGGTCGTGATGGGGGACAGGCCATACCCAAGGCCCCCACATATGGCTCTCCTTTACTTCCAGCAGATTCTCTTCTTACAGGGAAATTAAAGTGTAATTTTTTCTCCGAGAGGTCCCCTACGTCTCAGCATTGGCATTTCCAAATTGCTTTTGTGGAATTGGCCCTTCCCCAGTGTCACCAGTGTCTACCCTCTCTGTGGTCCTGGGAGGCTTGTCTTCTCCCAAGGCTCATGGTGGGTCAGCGGCAGAGCTGGGCCTGCCTGTGGCCTCGGGTGTGCTCTGTGGGTCTCAGTGCGCGGGGGGATTTCCAGGATCCGCCACCAGCCGCTTGTCTTAGACCAGACAGTGCCTCTGGGCTGTGCTTGGAGAGCCTCCCTTGACATGTTCTCGGCATCCCTGGTGCCTGGGACAGGCAGAGCCACTGAGGCTGGGTGCCCAGAGCCTGAAGGAGACTCGCGTGGACCTGGTCCTGTTTCTGCCCTTTAGCCCTGGGCCTGGGGTTGACCAGATGCCCAGGCCGTGCTGGGATTTGTGCCGTCAGGGCCGTGCTCTGGGTGGGCAAGCAGACCCCTCCCCCTGGCCAGTGTGGGAGACTGGACCTCCAGCTCAGGCCCACCTACTGATTTGGGGGGGGCCCAAGTGGTTTATATGGACAGGGGCACGACAAGTAATCACCTAGTGGCCCATGCCGTCTCCTCGCCCCCAGGCAGTGTGTCTGGGGCTCCTGGGCTGGACTGTCTGGGTTCTCATGGTGGCTTCCCCGGTGCCCAGAGCCAGGACTGCATTGCGGCGGCCTTGGCCTGCAGCAAGTTGTTGAAGGAGATGTCCAAGGAGGAGGAGGACACGGACAGCCTGGAGGAGATGCTGGCGCTGGCCGACGAGTTTGAACACAGAGCCATCGGTGAGTTTACAGGCGCTGGCCTGAGCCCGGCTCCTCACACGCTGCCCCGGTGTCCTCGTCCTCGGTCCTGTCCAGACCGTGGCATCTGGAGGAGCCAGTCCCTGACGCCGTTCCGGGCCAGACATGGATCTTCCTTCTGCCAGGGGTGTTCACCGAGTGCCACCGGAAGGACGAGGAAAGGGCACAGAAACTGCTCACCCGTGTGTCAGAGGCCTGGGGGAGGACCACCTGCCTGCAGCTGGCCCTGGAGGCCAAGGACATGAAGTTCGTGTCTCACGGAGGCATCCAGGTGACCCTCTGAGGCTCGCTTCTGGGAGGAGCTGTGGGTGCTGACGCGGCCTCCTGGTCACCTACCGGCACTCGGGTCCTAGTGCTGTGGCCCCCTGGCGGCCCGGGGACAAGGCCTGGCCCTTGATCCTGCGCTCCCCTCCCGTTTTGCCCGTCAGGAAACTGATGCTAAGAGAGAGGGGTGGTGGGTGGTGAAGGCTCAGCCCCACAGGGGTGTTCCTACCTGGGAGCCCGCAGACCTCCGGGTGGCCCCAGCCCATACCCCGGGGAAAGGCCGGCCGGGCCTGGAGCCTCTTCCTCAGCCGCGGAAGACGGGCTCTGCCTGCACTGCCCACCACGTGGTGCGGCGGGGCTCAGAGCACTGTGCTGGGGACCACGCAGGCACTCCGCACAGAGCAGACACGCACGGCCCGCAGGGGTGCGGCACAGGCAGTGCCCGCTCTTCTGAAGCTGCCTCCACTGTCCCCAGGCTTTTCTAACCAAGGTGTGGTGGGGCCAGCTCTGTGTGGACAACGGGCTCTGGCGGGTGATCCTGTGTATGCTGGCCTTCCCGCTGCTCTGCACCAGCTTCGTCTCCTTCAGGTACCCCCCTGGCTGCTGGGCTGCAGGGCCCGCAGACCTTCCTTCCCGATGTGCTTGCAGGGGGCAAGTCGCATCTGTCCCGATGGCTGCCCCCGGGTCCTAGGACGGTAGAGAGGCGTGCGGGCGGGAGGCCGAGGGAGGGTCCCCCCTTATGGGAAGCACCCACGTGCCCTGATCAGCCCCCTGCCCTGAGCACCTGCCCTGCGCTGAGCGCCCACCGGAGCCCAGCGTCTCATTTCCATCCTAGCGACACCAGAGCCAAAGGGCTCTTTCAGGGCCCTCCCTTCCATGGCGCTATCTGGGGGAGCCGTCTACGTGCTGCATAGGCAGGGTCAGTGGGCTGCCTGGACGCAGGATATGTCCCTGAGCTTCTGTCCCTGCCATGTGACGTGAGCACAGGAGCACGCTGGCCCCACTCCTCGGGGGAGGCAGAGGTCCTTGGGGCTCTCAGGCCCCCGCAGCCTTGCCGTCTGCCCCCCGGCCTCTGCCCTGCAGGGAGAAGAAGCTGCAGGCCGGGAGGGGCATGCTCCGGTTCCGCGCCTTCTTCAGCGCTCCCGTGGTCATCTTCCACCTCAACATCCTGTCCTACTTCGCCTTCCTGTGCCTCTTTGCCTACGTGCTCATGGTGGACTTCCAGCCCGCACCCTCGTGGTGCGAGTGCCTCATCTACTTCTGGCTCTTCTCTCTGGTGTGTGAGGAGCTGCGACAGGTGTGTCCGGCTGGCCCCCTTCTCCACTTCCCCACATCCCCAACCCACAGGGACCGTCCTCTGGTCCCCACCCCCAGCTGGGAGCGCCTGGCCCCGGGACCCGCAGCCGGGTCACTTTTGTGGGTGGGCTCACAGCAGGCTCACCAGGCACCCAGACACCGCTGCCAGGGCCTGGGGCAGCCTCAGAGCTCCTGGGAGGCGGGTGCAGAGGGAGGTGCAGAGGGAGGTGCGAGAGGCAGGTGCGGAGGC